TAAAGTGAATAGTGGAACACAAAACATTAAGTGCACATTTTAAGTGCTTTGAATACTGGATGACTTAACGAAAAGGTTAACTCATATTTCTTTTTATTTATTGCTTTGTTACTTTTTTTTCTTAATTCCCCACCCCCCACCCCCCAATATTGGTAATGCAGGCATTGCAAATCAAGCTGCCATAGACGAGCAACAACAAAAGTTTCTCGTCTATGCAGTGCAGTGTTAGAAAGGATACTAGACATTAACTTATTTCTTTCTGCAAGAAATCTTGAATTCCGTGGTTCAGACACAGCCATTGATTCAAAGAGCAATGGAAACTTTCTTGGAATGTTTGAATCACTGGCTAAGTACGATACCGTTCTAAATGAGTTTATGCAAAGAATTCAGGACAAAGAAACCAAGGAGCACTATTTGAACACTGACACACAGAACGAGGTGGAGATTGAATCCAAAAACCTTTCTAGAGTAAAAAAAGAAAAATACTATTCTATTATTTTAGATTGTACGCCATGCATTTCGTACAAAGAACAAATGAGCATTGGTCATCTATCAGTGCAATTTCTTTTTTTGGTGTTCTTTCAAGGTTATATGCACTCTTTTCATCGTCTCCTCCTCGATGGGAAATTTTAAAATTGTGCGTTGCTATTTCTGTCAAACCAAAATTAGATACCAGATGGGAAAGTAGAATAAACTGTGTTAAACCACTTCACAGTTATTTAAAAGAAATCTTAGAGGCACTCGAATATTTGAAATAAAATGACTTAGAAAAGAGAGATGGGGCTACAGCCACAGAAGTACGATCGCTCACGGAATATACTAGAACATGGCCTTTCTTATTATCAATCATTATTTATTATGATGTTTTTTTTTCAAATCAACAAATCAAGTAAGCTTTTTCAGTCTTCTGAAATCTCTCTCGACATATTAGCTAGTGAAATGAAGGCAACAAATGTATTTCTTTATGAGTATTTCAAAAATGGATTTTTAGACGCACGTATTAAGACATCAGAAATCGTAGAAGTATTGGGCGTTGAAAAGGTTTTTCCAATAATACGTTTACGAAAAAAAAAATGTCGATTTATTCATATGAGTGTGCTGATCACACTCGGCAACTTGAACCTCAGTATAAAGCAGACTTTTTTGTCATTAATTGATATGTCAATTGCATCAGTAAAAGAGCGTTTTGAACAGATCACCATTATCACAAAGCTTAATGACTTTCTTTACCGATCTGAGAGTCTTATCAAAGTCTGTAATGAAAATGCTTTGTCTTTATATTGCAATTTTTTGCATATGAAGCTTGGTGATATAGATTTTGAAGATTGAGAAATGGAGTTAAAACGATTTGTCATAGTTAACAAGGAGGAATAAAATGCCTTAAAGAAGAGCTGCAAGAAACTTATCAAAAGAATCTAGTTGTTGTTGTTAAGAATCTAGTTACGAATCATTCTTACTGTACTATTTACTGTTGCAAATGCAGGACATAGCTTTTAGCAAGTTAAAACTAGTTAAAACTTTTCATAGGTTAGTATAAATAATCAGCTTCATTATACATAAATACATGTAGCTATATTTCTTTGTATCTTTGAATAGTTAAAACTTTTCATAGGTTAGTATAAACAATCAGCTTCATTATACATAAATACATGTAGCTATATTTCTTCGTATCTTTAAATAGGTCGATGAACGTTTGTCTTCTTTAGCAACGCTGTCGAATAAAATCGAGGTTGGAAGGAAAATAAGTTATGAAGGCAAATGAGTTTACAAGCATGAAAACACGTCGCAAACCCTTTTTTTGATGGTTTGCGACGTACTTGTATTATTTTTTAAATACTGTTAATGTATTACTGCGTAATACATTAACAGATTTTAAAAAAATCTCTTTACTAGTAAACTCTATAGAGTAAAACAGGGTAAAATAAAATAAGGGATAGAATGAAATAGTTATGACAATGTTTATTCTTTTGCTCTTAATTAATTATTGAATTATCTTTTTGCAAATATTTTTCGATAATGTTGTAGAGAATACTTTTTTGAGTAAGATGATGTCAAATTTTATTTTTAATAAAAAAAATATTGTTACAAATTATAAAGTTTTAATGAACTTAAAACTTAAAAAGGTTTTCTGGTACAACTTTTTACGCTGATCAAGAATCCTTTTTTAAAATTAAATTTGCTATTTAGGAAAAAAAGTTATGAGTAAAAAACAGAGAAGGAAAATTGAGGGGTTAAATGAAATACGCTAATAAGTGAAGCAATTCTTACATGCGGCTTTTTTTTAGTTAATTCTCAAGTGACCAATAAATCTCCAGCTATAAATTTTTGTATAAATTTCAATGAACGAATTTTTCTATCTGAATTTAAATTTAAATGAATGACTTTTACTGACTGCTTTTATTAAATGATTCTAATAAATAAATGAAATACGCTAGTTGCTCTCTTGTTAAATGCGGGTTTTATTAATTAATTAAGTCTCAAGTGACCAAGCAATCTCTATAAATTTTTAGTATAAATTTCAAACCGATTATTATTAAATCTATTTTAATATAAAACATACCTCGAAACAACTTGAATGTAAAGAAAAAAGAAAAAACTATACACCAAAGAGCAAGTTGCGCTTGCGGCGGCCAAAGTACATTCAGCATACCAGTAGCAACTCTTCACAGGCGTGTCCACTGTATAGGTAAAACAATTGGCAGTGGTTCAAGCATGAGATTGTCACAACAACTTGAATCAGTTCTGGTAGATACGCTCATCAAATTATCCGATTGGGGCTTCGGTAGAACTTACAATAACATCATCGCACTAGTTATCGACTATTTGCAACACCAAGGTCAATCTCATTTGTTTCCGAATGGTACATCAGGAAGAGATTGGTATAGGTTTTTCATAAAACGGCGGAGTCTTAGGTTGAGCATCAGAGCCATAGGCAATATTTCATCACTCAGAGCCGCTTCTTGCACGCAAAAGTTGTAGCAAAGTATTTCAACTCACTGCAAAGAGAATTCAACACAGCAGGTATCAACGAAAACACTCCATGTCATTTGTGGAATTTTGATGAAATTGGCTTCTCTGGTGATCAAGGTAAGCAACTCATAGTTTGCCATTGAAATTGGTTGGCAACAATGAAAAAATCCATTATATTGTTGGAAATTGCATTAATGCTGCTGGCAATCGTATTGCTCCATACATTATTTTTAAATCAAAAAAAGTCTGTACAGAGATTGGTGTGTAAGTGGTCCAGATGATGCTATCTATTTTTATATTTATTGCAATACATTAAATTTATTATATAACAAAACTAAAAAACAACATTAATAAAAAACTGAAAAAATAGCACCAAAAAGCGCCCGATGAGGGACTCGAACCCGCGACCCTCAGATTAAAAGTCTGATGCTCTACCGACTGAGCTAACCGGGCCATGCACAGCCGTAACTTAAGTTATTAATAAAAATGTAATAATTTTTATAAGTTTATTTTTATTTCTGAAGACAATAATTATTAAAAAAAGTTTTAAAAAAATATTTTGTTCTTTAAATATTTATAGTGGAAAGAATTCTTCTAATAAACTGTCACCGCTAAAACTGAAAAGTATGATTATTTCTAATAAAAGTATTAAGTTAATTTCTCCGTGCAGCGGTTTGCTTGTCGAGGTTCGTGTTTCGGAGTCAAAGAGTTGAGAGAGGGTTGTACCACGATTTAGAACAACAACAAAAACAAAACAAAAAAAGAGTAGCCTTCTCGACTGTAGTGGCCCCCTCGGGCCTTGGGAAGGTGAATAATTTAAAAAAAAAAAAAAAAAGTGGGGGATCTATTTTCAATAAACTTAGTTTATTGGAAATAGACATGTGTCTGTCATTTGATATAAAAAGGCAGTTCTCGGCAAAATTTAATTTGTGTTGAACATCTTTGGAAAAATTTAAGTTTGAGTCGTATCATAGTCATAATAACAGTATTTTATGACTATGGTCGTAATTTATGTACGTAAATAAAAAAACCGAAAACGCACCAAGAATATTTAGAATTAAAAAGCCTCTCAGGACCAACGACACAGCCCAGCGGGCACAGACGTCAATCAGACGTCTTACGGACGTCTTAACTAGGTCGCGACGTCTCAGACCAAATTAGAACGTCCGAAAGATGCCCGGTAAAGACGTCTTTGTTAGGACGTCCTAATGACGTTACCATAAAGACGTTATCAGGACTTCCATATTAAGACGTCCTATTGACGTCCCAAAGACCTTCTTTAGACGTCCTAATTACCTTGGAAATAAGTTGTCTCAAAGACGTTTAATGGACGTCTTCAATAAAAAATTTAATTAAAAGAAGAAAAATTTATATATAACTTAGCGCATAAAATATTATGCGCTAACTCGGTTAATTAAAAATGTCTGCATTAATTTGATATTATTAATTTTGTTTAGTTATTTATCGTTTAAAGATATTTTTCAATTCTCTATATTCTATACTCTATGATCTATAAACTACAATCTATACAATTTTTAAATAAATGAAAAATTGAGTTTAGTTATTAAGTTTAAATAAATTACCAGTATAGTGAGGGAATT